TCGTTGACAAAAAAGGGTGGGGAAACTGGATGATAAAAGGAAGAAGCAAAGGAAAGTCACCAATGCTTAGGATGTTGGGACAACAGGAACATGGAACCCTAGAAAAGGCCAGCTTTTAGAACAAGAATTGGTGGACAACGTCAAGGAAGGTCCTCACAAGAACCGCGGACTGAAGAGTGATGATGAAAAGTCCGCACACTTTAAAAAATAAATAAATAAGATGACTATGGAATTTCGAGTTCCTTGTTCTCCTTCCAACCAAGTATTTTAAACATGTCATAATAAAACTTACTTCCAATCGTAGACTGCATCGTAAGTGAACAACCTTTTGTCTTCCTTGCTATCTTTTGCATTTGGATTTGTAATTTCGATGGCACCCCTGCTGGGAAAGCAGTCAATCACACTGTAAAGAAAATCATCAATAATAATCACAATACATCACCACTTAACAACCAACACAAATTTAATGCTAATTTCTTACCCTTCCTGTGTACTTTTGTTTGGACTTTGCAAAATTCTGATTGGAAACAATTAAGAGACTAAGAGAAGGAATGAGACAATAAGCTGCAAGAGAAATTAAATAATAGAAATTAGGATGAAGTAAACTGTTTTCTGGATATTATCCATTGTCCAAGAATCTCTCTTTTTTTTAAAAAAAAAAGGCAACCCATTCTTCAGTGCCTGAGCATCTGCGGGTCCATTGGCTTTGATCTAGACAGTTGGTAGGACTCCTTGGACGAGTGATCAGCCTGTCGAAAGACCTCTACCCGTACACAACGTAGAAAGACGCAGACAAACATCCATGCCTTGAGCTGGATTCGAACCCACGGTCAGTGTCTTAGTGGCACAAGGCCCACGCCTCAGACCATGCAGCCACTGTGACGGCCGACTAAATGAAATTAATAAAAAACCATGACGTTTCGAAGATGGGAGTCTATCTCCATCTTCTAGTAAAGCCTACTCTGTTGGGCCCAATCAACTGAGCTAATCCCTATTTCCGAGAAATCAGGACACTGGTTTTGCCATAGACAGAGAAGTACACAGTACCTTGGGCAGCCCTGAACACAGACGACCAAGTGGAAGATCAACAGCAGTAGCATAAGCAAGTGAATATGATGATCATGTGCTTCTGGATTGTAATTCTGTGCAGACTGATGGTAAACACCAATGTTTTGTAGAAACATTGGTGTTAGGGATGAAGATGGAGACAGTGTGCTTCTCCTAAATGATATCTGGTCATATGTAGTGTGTTCACCGATGGGAATTATTGTTCAATTAAAATCAATTGAATTGTGATTATTATTCTTACAAAATAATGAGGTTCTTCTTGTGGTATGCACAAATAAAACAAGTTAATAAATACGAATCCTTACCATGAATATCCAGCGGCAATTTCTTTGTCATTCATAGGCCTGCACCTTACCACTACTTGTACTGCTTCATTTTTTGGGGATCGCTGTGGCTGAAGCAGAGACGAAATTATGTACATAACAATATGAGTCAGTGGGCTTAAAAGTTTCTAAATTCAAAGACTCATTTAATCATCAATAATATTAAGAAGAAATTAGTACATATTACCATAATTTAATTTAAATACCATAAACACCTGCAATGCTTTTGTTGTCACATTTCTAATAAAATTCCAATTAAATAACCTAACCTAACTTAAAAAATATTATGGTCTATATACAAATACTATTTCCCTCACAACTTTAACATAATGTAAAATAAATTATGATAAAAGTTTACCAAAAACTTCCCAGTCTTTTCCATTCTCCTATCAGCTAATACTGGCAGTTAGTCTGTAAAGGAAGAAACAGCAAACATTTAGTTACTAACCTGAAATTCTTTAAAAAAAAGGGGGAAACAAAAACATGGCCACTTAAATTTAAAATATATTTCATACTTTTTATAAGTAACATGGTTTTGTGACTATGAGTTAATCAAGGTGATTAATAATAATAATTTTCTGATATTTAATTAATTATGTGGCAGAACAGACAAAAGTTACATGAACAGCATTATAAACACCATAAAATGCAAAGACGTCTTACGCAGTGATGACATGTTACGTCCCATCAACCTCACTTCCCTTCTTATTTTCCGAATAACATTTTGTATGCATTTCTCTAGTCTCCCATGCACGCCCCACTTATCATCCTTTATTTTAATAATATCTGATGAAAGGCACCAATTGCATGGTAACTTTCAGCCAACCATCTCCAGCCCCTTATTACTCACTCCTCAGCGCAATGTTCCCAAATACCCTCAATCAATGTTCTTCAATTAATCTGAAGGAACAAGTACTATATAGCAACTTTCATACAATTTAAACTTTATCCTCATGGACAGCAGATGGGAAACAAAATATTTTTAAAGAGATCTGAAATTTTCACGGCGACAACAATGATCATGCCGTTCCTCTGGCTTCTGGTGCCATGTGGGCTGGTCGATAGACGCTGACGTTTCGGAGAATCCTACCATCTCCAACTTCAGGGCTGAAGTGACAATGCTGGGAATCACAGGTAATATATAAGATAGCAGGAAGAGAAGTCCAAAGGAATGGGCCAACAAGGATGGAAAGGGGTAGAGAATGAGTCAAGCCAGTGGGGAGCCTCCAAATGTCAAAGGAGTGGAGGCAGATGGAGGGAGGAGGGTAGGAGGGTAGGAGAGAAGACACCAGCCCTTACGAGAGCCACCACAGGATGAGATAGATGAGAGAGATAAAAGTAGGCTCGAGAATGTCACGAGTCTCGAGATGGAAGAGGGACGCAGTTTTGAACGCAAACAGCAGTTCAAGTACTTGGGAAACATGGTAAGAGACGACAACAAAGTCAGTGTGCAAATCAATGCCAAATAGCGGCAGGCATTTTGTCTACCAGAATCTTCTAAGTTCCTCAAACTTCTTGAGACAGCTGAAGCAGGCCACATACAAAACAATCATTAGACCAATAGTGCTATAAGGTGCAGAGACATGAACACTGACCAAAACAGATTAAAATACGCTATAGCTCTGGGAGAGGAAAATTCTGAGAAAAATATACAGTGTGGCCAATGAAAATGGACAGTGGCAGATAAGAACTAACAGTAAACTCTACAGTCTCTACGAAGATCTGAATTTTGTGACAGAAATTAGGAAACATGCTGAATCACTAAAATGTATGGCAGAGTGGATTGGGATTCAACTTGATATTTGAGATGTCCTGGGTTCAAATCTCAATCCAGTTACCTCAGCTGTTCATCATGGTTTTCATCAGTGTCTGCACAGACAGCATCTTATATTACATCTTCAATGCGTCCTTCATGCCCTTTTCAATTAATCACAGACCGCCTTGATCCTGTGAATCAGGGAGGAGAATACAGCCTGACTAGAGTGAACAAGACTACAATGTGCAAGACTCCTCCCTCAGTTAGCTTTTTGGTTGGTTGCATCATTACTTCAGTTCTGAAGATAGTAAACTTTCTGAGAAACGCTGGCATCTACCTACCAGTCCTCACGGTGATAAACCAAAAACACTATCATTTTAATAATGTTCTTAAATAAACTACGACTCAATCAATACGAATATCGGTACTGTCAGAGTAAACGATTATCGTTCATAAGAGACCCATCAATTACATTTTTCCACAGCATAAACTGATCAAGGAATTCAACTTAAAATACTGACACATTTCTATTAGAGCTACAAGAAATTTAAAATAGTGTCAAACGATGTTCCACGGATGTGCTTAAAATACGTCGAAACAATTTAACTTGATTACTGAACACAATAACAGAAACTTCTTATACTTACCTACAGTACTCACCTTATTTGTTACTTCATAACCTCCTTAAAACACTACGCACAAAACTCCATCATGTAGCCCAGTTTTCAGCACGGATAACCAAAATTACTTTGGTTAGTATGCTATTATAAAATTCTCCTTTACATATTTGTATTCGCTCGTGTCATTCTTCCTTTTCTGAGAAGTGCTGTACACAGTATTCAGAAATTCACACTCATTAATAGCCGATCAATATATTCACCACAGAGCAGACAGAACAGAGAAGTCGTAACTTTAATTTCCTTGGGCCTCTATGGAATCAGTTTTAGACAGCCGGGGAGCACAAATAATATTTAGTGCCGGGCAGGAGTTTCGGCCTGGTTTAAATGATAGCAATTTAATGTTATGTAGAAAATTTTGAGCTATCTCGGGGCCACTCTTTTTACGCAAAGAATGTTTATGTAGTGGCGCTCATTTTATGTGGGAGTTTTGTAGCAGGCCCCTTTCAGAAATAGTTCTATAAAACACAAACATCGCATCCGATATATTTATATTGCTCCTCAAATGTAAAAATAACCTGAAATAATTCAGAACGTCGTTGGATAATTCAAGGAATACTAGCATTTATGCATTAAAATAAGCATGTACTAGGGCAGATTGTAGAAGATCGGGCTGGAATAAACGGAAGCTGGCTTACTTGGGATACGAGCAACATATTTGAGGTTAAATTTGGGCTTGGGCTGGGTTGTTAAATCGAGGGTTAACTGTATATTATTTAAATAAGAATACTGCCGGTTTGTGCCTTATGGTGGGGCACCTAGACAACAAAATGTATGTCTAATGCAAAACTGCATAGAGTTAAATTTCATATTGCCAAATGCAACTGTCAGGCGTTCCATCTAATATGTAACTGGTTACTACTAACAAAGATAAATCATCAGACTTGGGTCAGGAATTAAAAAAACAGTAAGTCGGCAACATAAAGAGCCATCATACCTATCTGGTGGGTCCTGATTCTAATTTACATAAGCTTACAAAATAATAAATATATTTCAAGCTTTTATTTGTATTTATCAGTCTCTTACCTTTTCTTTTATTAGTTTATTCTTTTCTTACTTTTTATGATGTTTCAGAGACGAGTCTGTATCCATCCTCTGGTAAAAACTACTTTGCTGTGCCCAATCCGTAGAGCTAGTTTGGTGCTAGCAACTTTTTCACATAACTTCATCATAATATGAATTTTATCCACAAGCTTTAATTTCTTAAAAAAGGCATCATACACGGTAAAATAGGCAATGTTGCCCCACCTTTTGTTATTATATATTTTTACAAACAGAAAGCAGCAGGACTTATGATCAAGTTTGTTATATGTATGGTTGTCTTAATAAAAATGAATGACACCCTTGGCACTTATGTGATGAACGGTGCTCCATATGTAACCAAGCATAAATAATACAGCTGCATTTTTCTTTCATTACTAATAATATTCTTACATTCTTTACAGCAGTCATCATCATCTTGATGAGAACTTGAATTTGGAATCAGAATTATTTTCTTGAAATTATTCTTCATGGTTCTGGTTTTCTGTTTCTTCTTCTCAGTGTTCTTTGAAACAGTGAGGATTTCTCCATGAAGACTACTTCTTACTCTTGATGGCCCATGTCCGATAGTTTTGGTAAAGATAATAAGTAAATGAGAATTCTTGTTGTAATTTCTTCTTGAGAATGTTGAATGGTTGTCGATGGAGGAAGACACGTAATGTCTCCTGAAGACTTGGAAAATTGTTTGAACACGAAGACTTAGAAGACAGAGGCAGGCAACGAAGGATGAGGCACACTGGTTGACGCATGTAGGATTTGAGGTATTCACAGCGGTGCTGTCTTTTGGTTGACACATATTTAAAAGTATGAGGCAAGATGATTAATCTATGTTGGCAACTCTAATTCCTATCTGGCCAATGTTTAGCCAAAGCACCTTAACTCGTAAGACATGACGTTCACGATAAACCAAGAGATTTGTGATTGATCCATAGCCAGTCCACATAGCTCTTGAGTTTCACATCTGTTGGCCTTACTGACTTCCACTGATTGATGCAAAAAATCTTGTACGAGTCATTACCATACTTCCCAATTCCAAACAGCTCTTTTGCAGTCTTCCAGTTCTTTGTCACATAATCTCCTGAAATAAGAAAACATTGTGAAGTGCAAATTCGTGACATAATTTAAAAGTTCACTGGAAATCTTATTCACGAACTTAATGGGTGTCTGTACTTACGGGACATTCGCTTGATAGCATAAGCACGAGTGTCTTGTAGACCCAGTGGACGCAAGAACTGAGCAATGTCAAACTGATTTGCATCTATAACTGATTCAGGTGTTGGCCAGGTGGTAAAAAATTTGAACAGTGCAGGAAGGGCGACTTCACCTGAAAATTAATAACACTGTTCATAATCCAGTAAGATATATTCCATTGCTTCTACTGCAGCTTTCATTTTCTTCGAGCTGACCTAGAATGAACTACAGACAGATTTTTTAACTATGGATGTGGGCATACCAACACGAATGAAAATATTCTAAAATGACTTGCATGACACTGACAGTAAGGGACAAGCCAGCTATATTAAACTTAATATTAGGAATCTTATTTTGGTAGGAAAACAAGCCCAAACAATTGACAGGACATGAAATGAAGGGCACACTACAACAGAAACGGACAACTTGTGAGGAGATGGTAGTAGCAGTATCAGTCAGGGAAGTCACACACAGACAAATATGGCTGGACTGAAAACTGGTTCTGATCCATGAATCAGAATTTGAGAAACTCTGGTCTCTTAACTAACACTAACATGTGTACCAATGACTGCACTACAAAACTCAAATACCTACCTCTAAAACTGTGTACAGAATATAAAATGTACGAGATCTTACCCTGAGTCCGATTGAGAAAGATTGTAGCGACAAGCAGCTGCCACGGATCATGGTACAGGTGTTCTTGCACCAGATTGAAAGGAGAGCGAGGTGGTGTCCACTTTGTCATTAAGTTCATCTTGAATGTACTTTTATTACAGGGAGAAGCTTTGTAAATCAAGTGATTAACACTAGCCCGGATCTTCTTATCATCAAATTGTGGAGGAACCCTGTCTTCAGTCACTTCTTTGCAAATTCTTTCATACAGCAACGTTGGCTCACTTTCTAGAAAACTGGAATTGTAAACTTTATTGATCTTCTTGCTGCTTATATCAGAATCACGAACTGTTCTTAAAAGTCTTTTAGAAACTCCATGAGCAGTGAAATAAGAACTCGTTACTCTTTGAGATATACCCAAAGGTTCGCTTGTTATCAAACTGGAAGGCGAGAAATTCTGTATCAATTTATCTGCCTCCTCAGTCTTAGAACGTTCCTGCACACTGATATCTGGGACAGTCTTGCAGCTAAGGTGTGTGGATAATTCTGAAGGCATTTCAACGTGTACGACTCTTCCATCAATTACATCCAAACCCTGAACTGCACTGTCAAGAATTCCTGGTTTTCCTGCATAGTAAAACCACACAGAAAATTTTGTAAGACAGAAAAAATTGGACCTCAAGTATTCAGTCATATGTGTCAATAAATGAACTCCACCTAATGAAATATTTTTCAATAGTAACATTACATAATAAATTTTAATAGCAGGAAATGTACTTTTACCTTCTACTTTGATACATTTTCCATTCACAGAAAAATCAATGTCATTAGCACTCAGACCTGAACCAGTTGCAAGCAGAAAACGTTCCAACTCCCTTTTTGAGCGGAATTTCTTTCCTTCGGGACTGAAAAGAAAATATCTGGTAAATGACAGAGGAATCAAATGTTGGCATTTCGTGTCACCACATCCTTCCCCTTCGTTCCCAAAATAAAATGTTCGTTTCCTGGGTTTCTCTGACAGAATGTTGCATCATTTCACAGTTTCTATCTGAGATTTAACTTTATTTAATCCTATGACATGTTTTGTCATGTCTTTCTTTAGATAACGGCTACCTGATAAGAAGACAAGCAACATGACTTCCAACTTTTGAGGCAAACAGCACAAACAGAATTTGGCAAATTTGTTAGCCCAGATTAGGACAAAGACAGCACTTATTAGAAATGAATTTCAGATATCAAGAAATGAATGTCCATTTACAGATACTAAAAAAATATGGAATTCATAGTATGACATGTTGTGTGGTGAAATGAGGAATGAAGGCATCAGAAGACGACAAGGGATAATTCACACTGTAAAACAGTCTTCAGCTTCTTACCTTAAAATATAGACATCAAATTTTCCAGTTGTTGCACCCTTCTTTCTCTGAGTAACTTTTCTTGTCCATCCCCTGGGGAGCCTTGGATCATCATACATGGGCTCTTGCAGATTAAAAAATGAACTAAATCATTATGTTTGTATTTACCAATGTAATACACTAAATAACTACAAAACCAAACTCTTCAAACCAAAATAAAACTCAAGTTGCAACTGGAGTACTAAGAAATTACAAATTACTGAGTTCATGTATGATCTGAAGCTTTCATAGCGATTAAGTATAATAAATTCTTCTCAGGCTACCAGATGTCTAAGGTGGCTTAATGAATAAAACACTGACGTTTTGAGAATCATCTTCATCCTCAGGGTACTGTGACTGTACCCTCAGGACCTTACACAGCCGATATTCCGAGAAGAATTTATTATACTGAGTTCATTACACAAACAACAGGACAGCACATGCTTAACACCTAATAAAAAATGTTATCACACGAATGATTTACTGAGGACACGCCCTGATGTTATTGTTTTTTCCAACCACATCATTAGGAAAACAGATGATGGATTTATTTCTGTCAACCACATGGTCAGGAAGAGAGGTTAAGTGGTTGTTTAAAGAAAGAGGATAACTCAGGGTACAGAGAGCAAGGCATGAATTGGAGTAGCACATCTCAGGTAACAAATCATGAATTGACATATATATAAAACACAAACATACGTACGTTTCTTAGGCTGTACATCTGAGGGTGATGAAGAACCCTGCACATCACACAATGAAGTCTCAACTACTGCCACTCCAAAAGACGTTAATGCAGCGTCACTCAGGGATGACTGGGTTGAAGATGATGGTTCAGTGCTATCTGCAGTTTGAAGTTCTAGTCCTTTGAATTTACTTGATGCAACTGTCAAATTGCTTTCCTGCTCATCAGCTCCATGTCTTTGTTCAGTATCTTCATGGGGTTCAATAGGCTCATCAATTTCAACCTTTTGGCATTTCCTGTCAACACCTGATGTATCTTTACGTTGTTCATCCCATCTCAGTTCCTCCTTATCCAAGATCTCGGAAGATATGTTAAAATCTCTGGCTTTTCCTGAGGAAGTTTCATGCTCTGACTGATTAGATTTCTGGACCCTTTTCACAATGCATTCACCTATGCTGGCAATATCATTAGAGCCATTATGAACAGTGTCAGTTTCAGTACAACCAGATGTTTTTTCATTTATTCCTGATGGACCACATTCAAAATATGAAGCCTCTGATACATGCATTTTAAGTGGATGTCTGCTGGGCTCAGTCTCTGATGTACACAACTTCTGTCCTCAAAATACACTACATCTGGAACTCCCGAAGCTTTAACTGTATTTTGTTGAGACCCAGCATCTTCTAAGCTATGAAAAATCAAGGTTCACTAGAAACATGTCAGTGTCACATAGGGGGGGGTTTGCTTACCAGTTTGTGCCTGCCTTCTTTACTGTAAATATTTACTCTAGCATTTAGTAGATGCCACACAGGCCTGTAATACTGCTAAAACAAAATATACTGGATAACTAATTCACTTATGTATCATATAGGGGATAGGTAATGGGCCCAAATTCCTGTCATGCAATTTATATTTGTATTAGAAGCAAGTATTGTATTTTTGCTATGACATGTTTCATAGCATGGCCTATGAAGGATATATGGAATGTAAATAAATCCTATTCTACCAGTGTAATATTTTTGACTGAACGCGAAACTCACCTGAAGTTCTAAGTTACAACTTTGATAACAATTTGAAAACGTGCAAGTGTACGGCGCCAACCTTTTACTATGCAAAACCCCAACACCACAGACAGTACCAACGTGAAAATCAATAAATCAATGCTATATCCGCAGACAACATACGACCACAGGCAATATTTACACAGAATAGTCCGAAATAACATGCAAAGGAACAAAAGAAATATGTTGTGTCTTCTGCTATCTGCTAAACATGATATTCTTCTGCCATCTTGTGGTTGAAAGCTGTAACTTTTCAATTTCTGTTAGTATATTGTGTACTATGTTGGTATCCACTGTATGTAGTAATAACTCGTGGTTATTTGTTTATATGTCAACCATAACCTAACCAGCCACCTCTGTTACACTTAAAAAACATGACTACATAATTTACAAGAAGTGCTAGTATATACCTTTGAGTTACATCTATGTTTGGTGTGATATGGCACAAAGGGTGGCTAACTCACTGTACAATTTTCGAGAAACTTTTCGTGTAGTAAACAAAGATGTTCTACGATGGTTCCCAGGTCATATGGGTAAAGGTAGGGTCTTGACAGGTTACCTTCAAATCGAAATACGTCACGTGTTTGTTGATCGTATTTCATCTTACTTGACACAGAATTGTCAAGTAATTATACATATATTCGATTACATGTTTTGCCGATTTCATTTGCGGCCCGGATACTGGATTCGCGGGTTCGAATCATGCTAAAGACATAGATGTTAGTCTGTTAGCGTTTCCGTGTTGTTTTATTAAACAGGCTGCAGGGCCTGACTACAAGAACTTAATACTGAATATTGATGTAGTTAGTTCAGATGAAGAGAATCTTTAAATAAGGAATGTTATAATTCTATACAGTTATAGGTGACATGATACTGAGCATCATGGCTAAGTGGTTAGAACCTGTACTTCATTTCAGAAGGCCCTGATTCTTAGTGTTCAGATGGTCTATGCTTAAGGTTTTCCTCAGTCCCTCCAGGCAAGTGTCAGGATAGTACCTTGCAACAAGACCATGACTGTTTCCATTCATATCCTTTGCAATTCATTAGTAATCCTGTCACTTGAAATATATTTGTTCCAGTTTCTCTTAGCATAGATATATAGAATGAATGATTTGTCTGTTATACGCTCAGTGTATCATAAAAAATGTTACTACTGAATCTGTAGGCGTGGTCTTTTGCCATAATGAATTTTGCTTGTCACAGTGGTTCATCAGTTATTACTAGCCATGTAGTCAAGTCCTTCTTGAGAAGCAAAAAGTATGCTTGGCTAGTGAAGAAATTCCTTCCATTTTTAAGGAACCCATAGGTTCATAACTGTGTTCACAAGAGTCCTTGTCAGTTAACAACTATGTATATAATTCAAAGAGTTGCCATTTTATTTTTCTTTATGCAGAAAGTACTTATAATGGTGAAGTGACCTCTAGTGTTGGTGGGGTTTTATGATTGTGGTCATGAACCTTATGGTTCCATACAGGGCAGGGAATTTCTTGATAAAAAAGCAGTTGCTCACGTCCCAAGAAAAGTTCTACTCCATGGAGTTCATCCATTTTGTTGATGTTTTTGATTAAAGTTACGCTTCTGTTCACAAAGTATGGTTCAGTGTAAATGTCAGTAATAAAATCAACTGTTAGATCTTTAACCTGGAAGATGTTGCTCATAATATTGTAACATTTTCATCGGTGTATGTCCTTCAGCCAGTATTATACATTAATATGTTTGTTCTCTTAGGTTTACGACAGATGCAACAAAGACTGAAGCTAGTAGACTGTGTAATAGAAGTCCACGATGCTCGTGTATCCTTTTATATTAACGATGTTAACATCTTTAGACCTATGATGACCATGTCTTTGATTGCGTTGTGATGGGAAATCAGTATACAAGTTTGTTTATGTTATTGACTTAGGAGGCAAGCACAAATGTACGCTTCTGCTATACGTGCATCTGCTTCATGCTTTGTAGAAACGGGGGCTCTCCGCAACAACAACGAAGTAATACTGTTCTTGTCAGCCCCATTGCTTTTCACATTTCCAGTTATATGGAGGAAAAATGACGAAGCCCTATTGTACATTTTATACCTCAATACAGTGCCACTGCTCTTTGTATGCGTGAGTTGTCTTAACCTTCTGCTTATCTAATATGGTTCATGTCATAAGCAGCCACACAGTATGCAGGCTTTGAATTACCTAATGGCACTGTTCATTATATCACGCAGTTTTCATCACCAAGAAATGTATGAAATTAATGTTCCTATTATGTAAAGATTATGGAAAGTGGTAAGTATGTATACCACCTGTCATAACAGTCAGTACCCTAGTATTTCACCTAAGTAAAGTAAAGTTTGTCCCACTATACGCCATGTAGGCGTTTGGGGTGAGTGGAGGTATAGCTCCTCTCTTCCTTGACCTCGGCACTAGAAGAGCCGGTCTGGACGCAGAGTCTAGAGGAAAAATCCTCTGCCCCCGTCGGGGATCGAACCCCGGTCGTCCAGCCCGTAGCTAGTCACTATACTGACTGAGCTATCCCCTACAAAGTTTATTTGTGCGTTGCATTTGATTCTCATACAAAACAGTAATTATTTCCCTAATCTTTAAACCAGCTGGTTTGGGCAATGAAATGTGAACTATTTTCTTAGAAGAAAATAATATTGAGAAGTGCTTGGTCTTGTGAAGAGTAAATTAGGCTTACCCATCTTACAATTCAATGGCTACTGGGGTAAAAGGACCCAATTGTGAAACTGACCACCATCTGCATCTAGTGCTGACATCTTGAATGAATGGAGCATAACCTCTGTATCCCTGTGCGCCATCATTCCGTTGTGTTTAGGCACAGTAACTACTTGTCCCTGCCCTAAACACTGTAAAATGTATGTAACTTTCCTTAACTCAGGGCAGATACCTCTATCTGGACGTAATCCTAATTTCCGTCACACTGTGAGTGGAGTGAAACCTCACATACTTGTTCTAAATAAGAAAGATCTCTCAGACCTGCAGATGAAATCAGAAGTGGAAGCTGTCTTGAGGAAAGATGGCTTTAACCACATATTTTATTCCAATTGTAAGGATAGTAAATGCCCAGGAATGAAACAGGTTGGTACCGAGGGTAATGGAAAAAATAATTTTTGGACTTGAAAGTATTTTAAGATGGCTGTCTTCTGGGATATTGACCAACATGCCTTTTCAATCTGGGTGGAGGCAGTGAGCTCCTATAAAATGTCAGGCGATATCCACCAGACTGCATGGCACAACATCCAAGAAGACAGCTGCGATCATACTTGCCAACATGAGAATCTGAAATCTCACCATGAAAGTACTGCCATATAATTTTGAAATAGATCGAGACTATCACATCTAACTGCAGAGAAATTATTTGTCAGCTGTGCCAGGGCACGGTCTTTCTGCTCACTGCATTATTTGCCTTACTTCGTAGTTGGTTAAAAGGAAACTATGATGCGCTACCATTTTTTATTTGTAAGGATACATTCTGTTTCCTGCACCTACAAAGCCCATATGAAACAACCCATTTGGCCACACCTCCAAGCTAGTTTTCTCATACAGTGTAATTGTGAAGGGGTAATCACCTCCACAGAATAAACAAGCATAATATAACGAGCCACGCTGTGGCCACAATTTATGCACTTTTCCCCACACAGCCAGAACCACAATGACTGGAATTCTGTGGTTCAAAGTAGTAAAGTATTTACAACCTCTGGACAGCAGTCAAGAAAGAGAAACACATACAAATGAACAAGAAATGACAATAAATTTCTAATAAGTAGAACCAGTTCACTAATCAAGTGCTTTTGCAGAGGTGGACTCGATGTTAAATCCAAAGCTAACTTGAAATACACGAACCTAATGTAAATTAGAATGCACCACCACCTTTAGGGCATACAAACTCAAAGTCCAGCAAGGTTCTCCTTGCTGGTCTGATGCTGCTATGGTCAAGATGAAACTCAGAATGACAGTCCAGCTTCACGTGAACAAACAGGTGAGCAGCGTCAACTGAGGGGGAGGGAGAAAGGATAGCGTCTGGGTTGGATAAGTAGGGGAGGGTGACAGTGCATACAGATGGTTGAAGTACTGGGTGAGCCATAATACTGTGAACTCTGAGCTATGCTGAGCTCACAGTCAGCTGTGACAGAAAGTGCAGGTTACCCGGATGAGTTAGCAGTGGCGATAAGAGAAATGGTCTACCTTGCAAAATTTTTTATTAACTCAGTTTGTGCAAGAGTTCCGCATAAATCATTGATAAGTTTATCTCAGAGCTCTGAGCATTGTAAACAGTACAAAGAATCTTGTCAATAAAACGACATTTAACACGTTAACAGACAGGAAACTGAAATGTCAGCATTGAGTATTAACTGAAAAGCTTGTCAGAACTTGGCCTGAAGATTTGCCTGATAGGCCTTTTATATCTTGGTGCATATTACAGCTTAGCAAATACGGTGTATGGAAAGATCATAGCACTTATCTGTGACAGAAATCCTGCCGTAATAATACCTCCTAAAACAAAGTTATGCGCCCTCATGTTTGGTAAACTTACGCGGCTCTCTTATTTTCCAGATCATTCCCGCTGTAGTGAAATTAGTCTCTTCCTCTGAACGGTATAATCGAAGTGAAGAAAAGGATTTCTCTGTTATGGTTATTGGTGTGCCTAATGTTGGAAAATCATCACTTATAAATGCGCTTCGATCTAAGTATCTTGGTAAAGGTATGGCAAGTTTGTTCTCAATTTTGAACCATCTTCGAAAAGTTAGTAGCATGAAAATAATATTTGTATTGGTGGTGTTAATTAATACATTCACATACAGAAATATTAGTCACATCATTCTCTTTGTTTTTATTTTGTCACATTTATCAAATGAGGCAACATAAAACTGCATTAAGGCTAATGCAGAATGAGGTATACTTTGCCTTAAGTTTCAAATGGTGGGTTTTGTGACATTGGATTGAGGAACTGTTGTGGCATGTTTCTCAAAACAGTGGCAAATCTCCTCGATTCCTTTTGGTTCTTAAGAGAACACGGGATGGTGGAGGAGGTGAGTAGGCAAGTAAGTCTCAGCATTCGTGGTTCATCTAAGAACATTTTATTGCATTGTTTACAATGAGGTTTTGAATCACATAGTGCCATGTCTCACTTATTAAAAAAACTGTAAAGTTGCTGTACGAGGAAAGCCACTTTCGCCCCTCATCTTGGATCATTTTCTGTATTAGTGAAAGTGCCCACAACAGATTGTGAACATTCCAGGAATTTGTAATAATTAGGACTGCAACTGCATAAATAGTTATGCAGGACACATGCGGGCCTTAAAAAATTATCTTCACAGTATCTGCATTCATTTCCAGTGGTCTATAATGCACACGCCTTACACAACATAATCTTTACTTTATTTTTCCTTCGCTTTTCGATAAGGATAAGGTTACATCCAGTAATATTTTAAAGGGAAAAGTTCATCACCAATTAATATATGTGGTAATGGTGCATTTTGTTCTGGCGGTGAGTTTTCCTGTGGAATATTTAGTGTTTTTGGCATCAGATCTTCTCATTACAGACTGTTCAAAAATACCTTCATCATTATCTTTGGTAGATTGTGTTTTCCTTGCTTTTATCATCTGTAATAAAGCCTGAAACTTCACCATAACAATCAACAGTTATGAGAAAGTATATATAAAATTGTTTTCCCCTAAACGCACGTGAGCGTCTGAAACCTTTCCTATGCGTTCTTTATACCCCAGATTTTTCATCGTATTTGATCTGATGACCGTAATAATAACATGTGGTGACAAGTACCACGTAAATATTATCCATCCGCCTGCAACTTCCTCGCTCTTACGTCGGAATGTTATCCCTCATCGTCCTCGTGCTCAGACATCCTCATCCTTGTCGCATTAGCTGAAGGTGAAGGACCGAGTTTCAGATCCATATAAAGCAGGCGCTTTACATTGCGGACTGTGAGGACGACGCAGACTTCTTCCTGTGAGGTAAACACAATTTAATAAATGAATTTAGCTGATTCTATTACTTTCTAGAGATGGCTTTCCTCTGGATTATGGCGCTGTGCAGTCCGGTACAAGTTTACCGATGTTTCGGTAGTACCTGCTGCTCCTATCACCAAAGAGCGTCATCGCCCCGATGATTGCGGCAGCAAGGACCTCTGAAACATCGGTAAACTTCTACCAGACTACATGGCGCAACAACCCAGCAGACAGCCATCTTCATTTTCCATCTTGTTGCAATTGTGGAACCACAACTCTCCCCGCTCTATACCGATATTATGAATCGATTCCTTTTGTTTTTTCTTTCTAAGTAAGACAAGACAATTGTACAGAAAAACAAATTTTCATAATATAAGACAAAGAATTGGATCTTTGTAATTTACTGGTGCCAGAATGAAGCACTATAAGTCTTATAGCTCACAAAATAAAAAAACAAAACAATTTTTGTAAAGTTCCAACAAATGAGGTTTATTGAACTTTCCGCCAATTTACACAAATATGATTATACAATATCCTACATATTTGTGATAATTTACAGGTAATATGAGATGTGGCCTGTAAAATAAGTCATATTTCAATTGCAACTTTTGGACTTATATCTCTTTATCCTGGCACCAGCAAATTAAGAGTTTCTAAATACAAACCTGATTGTATGTTCTTTGTCGGTTAGTAAAGTGCTAATAACAAGATGTCCTCTAGTCAGATGACACATACATATTCACTTGACAAACATGATGGAATGTGTAGTGATTGAAGGTTTCATCCTCAGTATCTTCCCAAAATGAGAAATCGCACTCTGCCTTGATAAGCAAACACTGCAGTGGTGCACTGCTCCTGCGCCATCCTGATATGACACACCGTCTTGGTTTCAGTGCATATTAATACAAGAGCCAGCTAAGAATGTTAACAAAACAAGACTTATGAAATCATTCATTTGACATATAATTCCCAAGTAAAATCAGCGATGGATGTTACAAACTGCTTCTAGAGACAAGGTGAAAAATGCATGGAACTCTACCACCAAACCTTCATATACAGAGGGAAAACTTTACCTTTTATTGACATGACTAGTCACAGTTGGGGTGTTTTTTTATTTATTTTTATGTCACGGATTCATTAGTACTATGACAACGTATGTTATTTTACAGGAAAAGCAGCTCCAGTTGGTGCAGTTGCTGGCATAACACGCAGTGTTCAGAATCGCATTAAAGTGTCTGATAAACCTCTGGTTTATTTGTTAGATACACCAGGTATTCTAACTCCAAATATTTCAGACACTGAGATGGGACTTCGACTGGCTTTATGTGGTAAGCCGCTTCCATTCTTTGGAATACAGTGACCTTCTTTTATGACTTAATATGTCTTATGTTAAGGCCACTCATTTTGAAGCTGCTTGCTTCATTTGTAGATTACTGAATGTTACTGCATCAACTGCAGATAATACCATCAACTTAGATGAACGGAGGATTACATACATTAAATTAGAAGGGACAATGCCTACTTGAAGGTACTGTAGGGACTAGAGGAAACCCATGGAAGACTTTACTCCTGTGCTGGCTTATACTTGATCCTGATCCTCACTAATACAGCTCACAAACGCTGTGTCAACATGTTAAGACAAACTAATTGCATGGAGCTAAGAAGCGTACAGTCGCTCAGGTAGTCAAATTCCCTGCCATTCATAGAACCTGAAGGTTTTTTACCATGTTCACAAGAGCCCACCAATGGTTCTTCTCCTGAGCCTGATGAATCCAGTCCACACTAACACTGTCGCCTTAAGATCCATTTTAATATTATCCTCCCATATATGCTTGGGTCTTCAAGGTGGTGGTATTTTCCCTTCAGAGTTCCCAACCAAAATTTAGTATGCATTTCAAAGCCCCCCCATGTGTTCCACATGCACCTTCGTGATTTGATCATCACAGTATTATTTGTTGAGGAGTATAAATTATGTAGCTCGTTACGTGGGCCCGTTTTAGTCATGGTATGATGCGTCCCAAGTTTTCAGACAGAGGAGAAGGCCTGCAGATGTGGAAGGGATCTGTAAATATTGAATAAGCAGTTGCAGATTGCAACAAGTGGTGGTTCTCCATAAAAAAACTCAGACTTGGATTTTTTTTTGGAATAATCTAAGCAACAGAAAATGGATATGAAATTTGAAACTTGGTATATCAGGAGTCTCTATAGGTTTAAATATAAGTTAGATTTAGTGGGATTATAAGAGGTCATGCAGGGAAAGGATAGCACTTAGGAATTGGTCTTTCCATACATCAGGGACTCATATCAGCAATTAAGAGGGCAAAGTCTCTTAGTGATACGACAATCATAAGATGTAGGATTTGAGGTTTTCACAGTGGAGAGTTTGAAGATGGCTGTCTTCTGGGATGTTGTATCGTGCGGTCTGGTAACAATGTTTCAAGAGGCGATCACCCTGATGATGGAGGCAGCAAGGACCTCTGAAACGTTGGCAAACTTCTACCAGACTACACAGCGCAACAACCCAGAAGACAGCCATCTTCTGGTCATAGGATGTATTATACTAAGAAGTGGTTGGTGTGATATTGTTCTGAATGCCCTGCACCAACTGAGGATAAAAGTGATGATGCAAAGGACAGTTTCCATGAGGAGCTGAAGTGTTTACTCAGTCACCTCCTCAAATGTCACATGAAGATTTTAATGACATAACACTGTTGGTCAAATTGCTGACACCAGAATATAAGACGTATTAGGTCGTTCTGTTTTGTATTTTGGTGAAGTGATAAATAAGATTCGTTGGGAAGTTTTATGTAGTGGTAACTGGTCATCAAACATTAGATCCATCTGTCTGTAACATGCCTAACCTAACCTGTCTGATCCACAGCTTGCCTCCAGGATCATTTGGTTGGTGTTGAAATCATTGCAGATTACCTTTTGTACTGGTTGAATAAAAACAATAAATTCAGGTAAAGTAATCATTTTATTCTTTTCTAATCCAGGCACTCAAAAGACCAAGGATAATGTAACAAAATATTACACATAGGTCAGTGTTTTTAGGCCAGGTGATGGTGAACATTTGGGCTGTCATTACTTTGTTTACCGGCATATTCTTAACGTTAAGAGCTTCTGCAAGGCAGTAAACAGCTGTAAGGCTGACGTAGCTTCATGAATTTGGTCCTTTGCTGTAATGTAATGTCTACATTGTGCTGGGTATAGAGCTGACCACATAATATTCTGAAAGCGAGTTAAATGCAATATCGCAGCCTTCACTTATTATCCTACAGCTTTTGTGTTGTTTTGTAACTTGTACAGATACCTGGAAATCATGGGTCTGGATGAACCAACAGATGATATCGGAACTGTGCTTACCAAATGTGCTGTGAAGCTGGGGAAGGCTCAGCGGCGGCGTGATGTGGTCGGTAAGAGTCTTCACGTCAACATGCTTTCTTTACGAACGCAATATCACTTTCTGCCGAAATTTATTTTATTTATTTATGGTTTATTTAATGACGCTATCAGTAGCTCAGACTATATGGCATTGAACTGGAGTAAAACATTTTCAGTTTGAAGTTGGCACTGTGTGATACTTTCATTAGATTAATGTTTAATATGTTTGTGTCGTGGGTATACGGAAATGTTAATGAAATGCTTATTCAATTAAACTATATTTTATAAAGTATTTTTTGTTCCCTTATGGACTTCTGCATAAACATCTTGTTTTTTATATTAAGTAAAGAAATTCAGTTCACCTCTCTAAACGTCATTGACAGGATGTTTTGTCATGAACCTTACATATTGATGATCCCTGACTGGCTATATACACATGGTTCATCACTGAAACGAGGTAACTGTGATTTCGAATTGGCTTGCCTTGATATCTACAGTCTTCATAGAGTGGATGAAGAATGTTTTGAGTGGTCGTGATCTTACACTCTGTGACAAAAATGAGGAAGACACAATCATTTATAAGTAAGGTTAAGACCTCTTATGACTTAATGATGCAGGAACTCCTACTTTCTTCCCTTACATGAATTATATTCAGGTTATGAAACAGACAAATAGGTAGAACTACCATATCAGCGACTAGTTTGGGGGGCCAGCCTGTGGAAAAAGAGAACTTTATTCTTAGGAAGAGTTGTTTTAATTATAGGATGTCTTCTGCCTCTGTTTCTTGATTTGGGTGCCACCAGGTTTATTTACAAAATGACCACTGGGCATCCTTGTATCATAAATGACACAAGTACTTCAGGTATGTAAGAAAAATTACGAAAGGAATGTAAATATGATGATGATTACCACCAGTTTGGATTTATGTGCGTTGGTGATCCTGTGCACCTGATACCCAAAGTCCTGAATTTTATCTTCCAGCTCCATGGATCTCAAAAATTACAGAAGCTTTTACAGTATGGACAGAATTATTAAATATTTTTTAGACAAGCTTTAGTTTCATAGTGTTAATTAGCTTGAGAAACTGTTTTATAGCAATTCTACACTGAACATGTTTGAACAGTGCCATCTTGAAACGCCATGCAATACTTTGTATGTCTGTTTTCTAGCATTTTTAATTAAAAGAACCTGAACAAATTTGGCCTACTTGCGTCAAACAACTGTTTTTTTTAAATGGAATGGAACATCAGTAAATGCTGACCAAGTGACTGTATAATGAATTCAGTTTTCTTGTGTACGTGTTTGTGTCTGCAGGTAGTGAATATGTGTGGAGACCAGATCTCTCAGCTGCTGCCCACTATTTCATCAAGGCGTTTCGAAATGGAGACCTCGGTCGAGTGATGCTCGATACACAACAGCTGACATCAAGTGTATCATTAGTTGGTTCATAATTAAACTCAGTACATGCTACAAATTCTTACTGTAAAACTTATGCCCTGTGCAGTGAAGTTAAGGGGAATAAAAAAATTGTTAATAATAGTTCTCTGTGAGGGAATTATTTAAAATAACACCCTATCCTGCTCACAAACATCAGGAGAGTGTAAAGTGAAGCTTTCGCGGCGACTGAAGTTGATGAAAGGCTCTCGGGTTACAAGCTACATCATGTGGCTGCAAGGTGAATGAACCATATATTCTGCCAACGTTTCGAGAACAATCTCTGTTCTCATCCTCAGGGCTGCTGTGAGTTCACACCTTCCTCCCACTATTTTTTCACCAAACTTTTCATGTTCTTACCTAATTCAAAGCTAAATTACCTTTGCAACTGACATTTACTGACACTCTGGTGACAGATGCTAAAGCTTCAACATGATCAGTACCAACACACACCACTGGACAAGAATCTGACAGCTCCATCCACTTCACAGTTTCACAACTTCTATTTAAAAACCCTCGATTCTCCTTGTCTCCCGGTTCCCACAGTTTTCTCTTCTAAACTGTCCACTCTGCTACCATACATTAATGTATGAAAAGTGAAGGTGCCCTCTGCAGTACTTATGTTATCATGTTTTGTATTTGATAATTTGTTCATTTTCCTGAGGAATTATCACCTTGGACATTATTATGATTTATTAACTGTGCGTGCATCTCTAAATCATCAGAACTTTTATTTGCAATTGAGATACAACTCCTTGCATGACACCATCATAAATTTTGCCTCTGATTCTGTTTGGCCTGGATTAAAGCACTTCTGAAGTCTTTTTAGTGAGTACTGGACTTTCAAATAAACCAACTAAACTATAGGTTAGGGCCTCATTATATGACAGGCCTTACACAGTCATCTTTCTATACAAATGCTAGTATGATGCTTTCATTCATGCCACTTCCATGTTTTCTGTTTTACTGCCTCCTTCAATCAAAACAATAAAATTATATTTTGACTTTGGAATTTTTGGAGCCTCTTAAACTTAACATAGCTTATGGGTTCTTAAACTCGACATATCTATAATATGCACTTTCGTTTTTGCACTGTGTCTTCTCAGACAGCAGTATACGGGAAACTAGAAAACAAACATAACCTAACTTACACTCCATAACCTGAGCGTTAGTCCAGCAAGTTTGTGAACAGAAAAGTAAATGACAATTCAAAAGCTTACCTTATTCCACGAACACCTTCAAAAAAGCCAAGTTCCACGGAAGCATTTCGTGTTTTCTTGTTCATTTCTTCGTGTCACGATATTGACTTCCTTTCAAAAGCACATGCATCTTGCCTTCTTTGCTGCCATCTTACCGATTGGAAACCAGTATAACCAACAGTTACTAATGTCACTTCTTGCTTTGAGTATTCAAATTTCCCCACTCCGACAGTATTATTAATTTTAAGTTCCATAGACTTGTAAAGGTACCATGTGCCCGCCACCTGCCATGATCCTGAGCCAACTCCATCCATTTGTCATCTTCACAGCTCACCTCCCTAAGATCCATCTTGATATTATCCTCCCATCCCCCTCTTCGTCTGCACAGTTGCGTTTTCCAGAAGGATTTCCCACCAAAGTTCTGTTTGGACCCCCATGCGTGCTCTACGTAGAGCCCATCGGAGCCTCTTAGATTTCACGATTCTCACTATGCCAGGTGACCCGTACAATTCACCCAGCTCCTCGTCATGCAATATCCTAAATTCCCCGTATTTCATCCCTTCTTGGTCCATATATCCTCTTGGGCACCCTGTTTTCAAACACAATCTATGTAGTTCCTTCAAAGTAAGATACCATTGACAACCGGCAAAATTATTCTTTTATATATCCTGATCTTCAGTGTTTTGGGCAGTAAATGAGACGATAACAGATTTGAATTGAATAAAAAGTTTTCCTCGAATGAATTCTACTCTTAATTTCATCATGGACCTCATTTCTATTCGTTATTGTTGTTCCCAGAGAAAGTGCATGTCATCATTGCATGCAGAAGTAGCCAATTCTGAAAATTTAACCCACTAACAATTCACACCAGTAAGCCAAAATACTTTCCTCACGGAAATACTCCTCGTATGTCAAGGTCAGATAAATTAGTTTATGTAGACACTGCATTATCAAACCCTGTTGCTAATTATAACACAGTAATGATAATAGTAACATGATAGTTATTTATTTCCTTGAAGTTTGTTAGCCACAACTGTATCATTTAGACTGGTGGCCATTTAATTTCACAAATAGAATATTTTTATTTATTAGATTACATTTATAGATATGTCTTTGTAGACATACAGAATTTGTATGTCAGAATTTAAAATATGAAGGAAGGCTGAATGGTCTAAAGCTCTTTTTCAGTGCTTCATGAATGGACTAAAGCTTTTTTCAGGGCTTCATTTAAGAGTAATGCAAATTTTAATATAAAATTATAAAGTCTATCCCTTGAGACACAGCTTGTTTCTGATCTGAGAAGAGTATAGTGTAAATTAATGGTAAAGTGTAATGCATTTGTTTTCGATTTGTGGGATCAGTTGCATTTATGGTTATGAGCACACTCACTGACATGCGAGATGTCAGCACCACACCATTTTGATTATGCTTCAAACTAAAAAGTTTTACACAGACAGATATTATGTTCAATGAATCCTGATGGTTTTGTTAAAATTGTCATTGCATTCTGTTAAAAAATTAAATGGCTCAGAGTGGAGCATGTTTTTTTTCAGATGTCCAATTTTAAGTGTATCTTAGTAAGGTTTCTTCATTAAGAATGATGATGGTGACTGATGATGAACATGATCAGTATAATAAAAACAATAATGATGATCAACATATAATAATAGCTGATTAATAAAAACTGTCTTTCATTAAATTCTTAGTTGTATAATTTGAATTTTTTGACATATCAAAAGTTTTTAATGCGCTAATTAAAGCCAATATATATTTTATATTACAGAATTGGAAATATCACATTTTATTTGCCTATCAGACTAGGCAAGTTTTTAAGTTATCTGAAATGAGGGGTATACACAAAATGAAGGTAATACAATGCATCATAAACTTGAAAAGTGTTATTTTAAACACATTTTTCAAGTTTTTTTGCTAATTATAAGTAGCATGAATGCAGTAGTCACGTTATTTGAATATGCATAGTGACGTAGCTCTCTTGCTGATCAAATTAACCACGTCAGAAGACACCGTACTAGGAAATTGTTTATATGATACAAGTTTCTGTAAGCATTCAACAGATTATATTTAAAAAGTTAATTTATTGTAAGATAATTTTAACTTAGAAGACTGCTAACAATTTTAAGAGGATTAATATTACATCAGACATTCATGATAACCACTAACATAAAATAACAAAGGACAGTCTGCACTAATTGAGTCTCTTATACTGAAATACAAAAATTACCAAATATCAGACACATTTAAAGTTTTTGTGGGACTACAATATTTGATGAAAATTAAATACTTTTTATTTCTGCCCTGCACTTTAATGCTAGAATGAGGTTCATACATGCCATTAACAATAAAAGTATATATATAGTAGAAAATTAATTAGTTTGCAGGGTAGAGGTATCAGAAATAATTATCGCTTATTTTCATCAATTTAACTTCAACAACAGTTTGATTTATATTACACTTTCCTTCCCATAATTTGTCTCTTATTTCTTTATTATAAAATGGCTTATTAAAAATGTACTATACACGCCACAGATT